ATAGGAATTTGTAAAACTATGTTGGGTGGACCTCTGTGCCTGTAGGGGGGTTCGGGGGCATGCTCCCCCGCAAGTGTTATAGTTATGTCTGTTCTGTATCTGTTTCCCTGAGTTTTCCCCGTCATTGTGTATTTGGTTCAGTCCTGTTCCCAGTTTTCCCGCTCCTTGTTAGTGTTCAGCTTATTCACCTGTGTTCTGATTTGCCCCAGCTGTGTCTTGTTCCCTCATCCCGTCTGTGTATTTTAATCCTGTCTGCTCTTTTGTTCATGGTCAGTTATTGAATGTATGTTTGAATGTGCGTACCACGAGTGTCTGTTCTGAATCTGTATTAAAGTCTACTGCTGCGTTTAGATCCGACTTCAGCCTTTGCTTCCACGCAAATCGTAACAGAATAACTGACCCACTAGGATCTAGCAGCCATGCCTACCTGGAGTCCTGATGTCCAGATCCTCCGTCTTCGCCAGGAGAATCGTGCCATCGAGGATTATGTCGCAGAATTCCTCGAGCTGGCATATCTCGCGCAAATGAACACCCACGGCTTGAAGATCTTCTTCCGCGGAGGATTATCGGAACCACTCTGGTCTCTGATGCCCGAACCTGGTCCTCACGGATCTTTAGAATGGTACGTTGACCTGGCCCTGTTGTGGAGCGGTTCCCCGTTTACTGTGGGCGTGGAGGAGAAGCTGCGAGAGCCTGCGCTTAACGTCAGCCCGGTTGCGCCCGCGCTTCACTTCAGCTGCTCAGCCGAGACCACGCTCCACAAGCCTGCGCTTCACGTGAACCGAGTCGAGCCCGCTTTCCACGACATGCCTGAGCTTCTTCCTGCCGAGATCGACATGCCTGAGGCTGAGCTTCTGTCTTCCGAACCCGCACGTCGCTTCAGCCTCGACGAACCCGAGTCAAGTGAGTCAAGTCCCGAGTCAAGTGAGTCAAGTCCCGAGTCAAGTGAATCTAGCCCCGAATCAAGTCCCGAGTCAAGTGAATCAAGTGCTGAATCAAGTGAATCAAGTGAGTCAAGTGCCAAGTCAAGTGAGTCAAGTGCAAAGTCAAGTGAATCAAGTGCCGTGTCAAGTGAATCAAGTGAATCGAGTGAGTCAAGTGCCGAATCAAGTGAGTCAAGTGCCAAGTTAAGTGAATCAAGTGCCGTGTCAAGTGAATCAAGTGAATCCAGTGAGTCAAGTGCCAAGTCAAGTGAGTCAAGAGCCGAGTCAAGTGAGTCAAGTGCCGCCGAGTCAAGTGAGTCAATTGCCGCCGAGTCAAGCGAGTCAAGTGCCGCCGAGTCAAGCGAGTCAAGTGCCGCCGAGTCAAGTGCCGCCGAGTCAAGTGAGTCAAGTGCCGCCGAGTCAAGTGAGTCAAGTGCCGCCGAGTCAAGTGAGTCAAGTGCCGCCGAGTCAAGTGAGTCAAGTGCCGCCGAGTCAAGTGAGTCAAGTGCCGCCGAGTCAAGTGAGTCTACCGAGTCTACTGAGTCAAGTGTGTCTACCGAGTCTACTGAGTCAAGTGAGTCTACCGAGTCAAGTGAGTCTACTGAGTCAAGTACGTCCAGTAGTGAATCAAGCCCAGTGAAGCGTCGTCGCAGAAGGAGGAGGACTCGTTTACTTCGCCAGGCTATGGAGGGCGTTCCCGGACTCCTCGCCCTGCCGGCCCCGCCTCTGCGCCTCGCCCTGCCGGTCCCGCCTCTGCGCCTCGCCCTGCCGGCCCCGCCTCTGCGCCTCGTCCTGCCTGCGCCCTTCAAGCTCCGGGAGGCCTGCCCGGAACCCATTTACCACCTGGAGGTTCCTCCCAAGGATTTCCCCAAGTATTTTTTGGGGGGGGGAGAAGGTACTCCGTGAGGGCCATGGAGACGACATCGACATGGTCCTCACCCTCGTCTGAGTCTGCTCCGACCTGGCCACCATCTCATCGTGCTCCGCCCTGGCCTTCACCACGCCATGCTCCACCCTGGCCTTCGCCTCGTCCTGCTCCGCCCTGGCCTTCGCCTCATCCTGCTCCGCCCTGGCCGCCGTCACGTCCTGCTCCGCCCTGGAGGCTTCCTGTTCCGGGCAAGCTGTGTCTTGTTCCCTCATCCCGTCTGTGTATTTTAATCCTGTCTGCTCTTTTGTTCATGGTCAGTTATTGAATGTATGTTTGAATGTGCGTACCACGAGTGTCTGTTCTGAATCTGTATTAAAGTCTACTGCTGCGTTTAGATCCGACTTCAGCCTTTGCTTCCACGCAAATCGTAACAGCAAGAAAATTTTGTACATTTTAAGGTTAAATGCATCAATCTGGTGCTCTTTGAGAGATCAAAATTAAGAGCTTCAACCCATGAACTGCTCGTTGAACAAAGAAAAAGCATTGATTTGTACCTGGACATTAAAGAGGGCTCAAACATCTTTTTAGTTATGAGAGTCTCAGTCTACATTACATTATCAATGGTGTTTTAGGATGCCAAACAATTATTATAATAATGTAATAATGATTTATATAATTATTCCTATGACATAAAATCCATATAGCCTATAAATGTACTATAAATGAAAATGAATTTTCAAAAGTATATTTTAGTCTACATTACACTATAATACAGGAAAATTAAAATACTTTTGTCCTAATTTCTTCACTTGCAAGAAATAAACCCTTGAGCTTTTATTTAGGAGAAAACACCAGATAACCATGCTGATCGCGTTAGCAAAGTGCACACTTTTCTTTAAATCACCCAGCACAAACAGGATGCCTATTCTTAAAGTATTGTGCTGTTTTATAAAGGCACAAAGCCATATCATGGTTTCGATTTTATTTCGTTGGCAAAATATAACGCTAGAGACCTTTATGTTAGGTTATACATTTTACATCTCATATGTGTTGGGAAAAGGGAGAAGAGAGAGTTCGGCAAAAGGCGGATTCGAACTCGGGTCGAGCGCATCAAAAACTGCTTTCAAGCACTTGACGCGCTACGACCTACGCCACTGTAGCTATCTCGTGACGGCCGTCTTTTTACTAAAAAGACAGGCACTTAGTGCAAATATACGCTCCGTTATCTAAAATATTTTTTTCCTTCCCCTCACTTGGGCCACAAGTGCGCATGGCGAACTTGCAATGAATACATTTTATCAGACCGGCCCTCGCGGCCTCGAAACACTACCGGCCCACCGGGGAAACTCCCGACTCTCCCGATTGCCACTCCGCCCCTGGGGCCCAGGGCCCCTTAGATGTCGTGGGCCCCTGCGCAAGTGCCCAGTTCCCCTAATGGTTAATCCGGCCCTGCTCTAGTGCACGTCTGTGTCACACACACACACACACACACACACACACACACACACTGTATTTTCATGTTTTATGGGGATTTTTGATAGACATGATTTTTATACTGTACAAACTGTATATTCTCTCCCCTTACTAACTAACCCTACCCCTAAACCTACCCATCACACACACACACACACACACACACACACACACACACACACACACACACACACACACACACACACACACACACACACACACACACACACACACAAGTCAAGTCAAGTCAAGTCAAGTCAAGTCATCTTCATTTATATAGCGCTTTTAACAATGGAGATTGTTTCAAAGCAGTTTTACAGAGATAAACATACAATTTACGGTAACAGAGATTGTTTTGGCTTTATAGCGATTTTTGAATAATGTTATTTTCGGCTAAATTTGGTTTTGATTGATTCACTTCCAGCAAAATGATCATTTGTTATTACATTAGGGGCCACTAAGACGACGGCGTTCTCTCTAAACAGACTTTAAACGCGAACCTGTGACCGGATGGCGTTCACATGCGCATTAAAAATTGATTCTATAGTTATATTCGTTTGAATATGTGTGCGCAGGTTTGTAATTTCCCTACCAACCATGCCTAAACAAACTACTTGTCTTGCCTATACATTAGATAAAGAATTTTGTTTTATTTTATCACTTCGGGGTACGCCAACCGGATTTTCAACAACGCGTTATCTGTAGAGTGGGAAAGGGATCCTCCATAGGGAGAGGATAGTGTGTGAGGATACACACACACACACACACACACACCATTAAAATCATGTTAAAAATAAACAAATCACAGTGGAGGCCAAGCCACAACTGCCATTTTCTTTCCATATTTGACAACAATGGCAATAATTATTATTTGTTAAATATTTCTAAATATTTCTAAATGAAAGACCATTTCATACACAATGGTAATTCAAAGTGATTTACATAAAAAGAATTTAAAAAGAATCATAAACTAAGCACAACAAGTGCTTAGGAAATAAGAACAAAGAATAAGTGATTAAATTTTATTTAAAATGTAATTAAATGAAAACGAGGAAACATAGATGACAGTTAGACACTAATTAAGCCTTAAATTTGCATCGATTCCCTTTATAAATGAGCATTTATTTACTATGAATTAATTCATTCTTAATGTTTTGATGAACATTAACAACTTTAATACATGGTTTAAAATACATCAGATATTTTTATTTATCAAATTGTTAACAAAGGAAAAAAAAACATTATCTAAATCTTTACATATGAGCTAATTAAAAAATAATTGTTAATGAAGAACTTACTATTTGTATATAACCTGTTAATGTGTTAACGACACTATTAATAATAAACTATGAATTAACTGATGTGTAAGACAAAGTAATGGATAAAAATCTTATGATGATCAAAAAGATGAATAGAAAATGAATTAATAAAGATTAATATAATTATAATGCAGATTCTTAACAGTAGATTATTAATTATGCTGGATACAGGTGAAGCCCAAAGTTTTACACAGAACGCAAATAAAAAACAAGCTTTTTATGACTCATGCACCAAACACTTTAGTAGAAATCGACTGCACATCTATAAGAACAACTAATACACTTTATAACAGCCTTTTTTGATAAATGACATGCGGCAGGTCTGTCTGCAGTTACTTTTAAAGCAGCATTTTGTCTGTTTTTTATTGCTATAATGAGTAATTTGGTATTTTATACTTTGTATGTAGGATACTGTAATTAAAGCAATGCTTGCAGCAGATATAGAATAATTGCTTAAGAAGTCAGAGTTAAGTTATTTACTCGAAGCCCGTGTTAGACAGGCGGCAGCGGGACTTCAGTCGGAGGGTTCGGCTGATCGGTGATCTTCAAATCCTTGCAGAACAACACCGGTTCTGACCCGAGACCCAGCTGATACTGCCACAGATACAGACGCTCGTTTGGCTTCAGCTCAAATGATAGTTGCTCTTCCACCATAGTCTCTTCATTCCAGTTTTCCTTCTCAGTGTTCACACTTGAACCTCCGTATTCTGCCGAAAAGGAGAACTGACACTTTGCAATTAACCCTGTGAGGTCTCCTGATGAGACTGTGGTTGACGCTGCTATCTTCCAGTTGTGTGTCATCTGGGACATCTTCTCCTTATTATATCCAACCTTTTTAGTTACTTTCCTTTGCCATGTCACTGGTGTGGGACTGTCATTACTTGCCGTTTTAATGTTCTCCCACCTGCCGAACGCTGGGCCGTTGGTTATGGACAGCCCTCCTGGCAGAAAGTTCAGGACATCGGGGTGAACAGAATAGACACCAGTGCGCTTATCTTCGTTGAAGTTGGTACCTTTGTAGTATTCAACTCCCCACTTTGAGGCTGGCTTGAGGAAGTAGTAGTGATCCGGCAGACCCCAGTAATAGAGACCGTCTCTGCAATTGGGATGCAGGAGAAATTCTTCAGAACGTGAGTCATAACTCAGGTCTGCTGTTCTTCTGTAAGTGCCCTTCTCCTGGAAGATGATGTAAAACCAGCCAAAGGCTGCCAGGTAATGGTCTCCGCCCCGACTGTTGGGATGAAGGGTGTAGACTGAGGAATCAGTGTCTTCTGACAGGTCAGTGACTCTGCGGTAGTCATCACCCTTAATGATGTAAAACCAATCATAGTCACCAAAGTAATGGTCTCCATGTTGGCAGGCGGGGTGCAGAGCAAGAATACTGAGGTCCGACCCTTGTTTAAAATCACTCGACCTCATATAGCAGCCGAGATCAGAGCGGATTATAAAATAGTTGGTCCTACATCCACAGAAATCAACTCCTTTCATTTTGCGCTTGGGAATAATGCCTGCCATTTTGCCTTAACCTGCAACACAAGATAACAAACAAATAAATAAATATTCAGAGCTAATGGTTTGCTGTTAATGTCAGGTTTAGTGCAGGATGCCGAAGACGAGGACACAGGTACTTGAATGCAGTTAGTTTATTAACTAAATAAACTTTCAGGAACATACAGCAACAAAGGAAAACACTCCAGGACTTCGGGTGACCATGGCGGTGAGGACCCTTCGGGTGACCATAGCGGTGAGGACCCTTTGGGTGACCATAGCGGTGAAGACCCTTCGGGTGGCCATGGCGGTGAAGACCCTTCGGGTGGCCATGGTGGTGAGGACCCTTCGGGTGACCATAGCGGTGAAGACCCTTCGGACGGCCATGGCGGTGAGGACCCTTCGGGTGGCCATGGCGGTGAAGACCCTTCAGGTGACCATGGCAGTGAGGACCTTTTGGGTGACCATGGCGGTGAAGACCCTTCAGGTGACCATGGCGTGAAGACCCTTCGGGTGGCCATGGCGGTGAGGACCCTTCGGGTGGCCATGGCGGTGAAGACCCTTCGGGTGGCCATGGCGGTGAAGACCCTTCGGACGGCCATGGCGGTGAAGACCCTTCAGGTGACCATGGCGGTGAAGACCCTTCAGGTGACCATGGCGGTGAAGACCCTTCGGGTGGCCATGGCGGTGAAGACCCTTCGGGTGACCATGGCGGTGAAGACCCTTCGGGTGACCATGGTGGTGAAGACCCTTCGGGTGGCCATGGCGGTGAAGACCCTTCGGGTGGCCATGGCGGTGAATACCCTTCGGGTGACCATGGCGGTGAGGACCCTTCGGGTGGCCATGGCGGTGAAGACCCTTCGGGTGGCCATGGCGGTGAAGACCCTTCGGGTGGCCATGGCGGTGAAGACCCTTCGGACGGCCATGGCGGTGAAGACCCTTCGGGTGGCCAAGGCGGTGAAGACCCTTCGGGTGGCCATGGCGGTGAGGTCCCTTCGGGTGGCCATGGCGGTGAGGACCCTTCAGGTGGCCATGGCGGTGAAGACCCTTCGGGTGGCCATGGCGGTGAAGACCCTTGGGGTGGCCATGGCGGTGAAGACCCTTCGGGTGGCCATGGCGGTGAAGACCCTTTCGGGTGGCCATGGCGGTGAAGACCCTTCGGGTGGCCATGGCGGTGAAGACCCTTCGGGTGGCCATGGCGGTGAGGACCCTTCGGGTGGCCATGGCGTTGAAGACCCATGGCGGTGAGGACCCTTCGGGTGGCCATGGCGGTGAAGATCCTTCGGGTGGCCATGGCGGTGAGGACCCTTCGGGTGGCCATGGCGGTGAAGACCCTTCAGGTGACCATGGCGGTGAAGACCCTTCAGGTGACCATGGCGGTGAAGACCCTTCGGGTGGCCATGGCGGTGAAGACCCTTCGGGTGGCCATGGCGGTGAAGACCCTTCGGGTGGCCATGGCGGTGAAGACCCTTCGGGTGGCCATGGCGGTGAGGACCCTTCGGGTGGCCATGGCGGTGAAGACCCATGGCGGTGAAGACCCTTCGGGTGGCCATGGCGGTGAAGACCCTTCGGGTGGCCATGACGAAGGCGTATAGCCCCCCCCCCCCCAAATTTTCTTGGGGAGAAGGACAGGAATGGGAACAGACAGCGGCTCTGGATCAGCAGACGTGGACGGGACCGGCTGGTCGAAAATAGGGCTTTTCACAAGTAAGTCTTAACATTACCGTACTATTGGTTGTATTTTGTGAATAGAATATTACCAGATAATCGAGAAGGAGCAAGGATATTTCCTATTACTGTACTGAAATCGTTGTGAAATGCTGTTTAGGCTACTGCATCAGCCGGTGTTCACCCGGCATATCAGGAAGCAATGTAATACACGCATGACAGCGATGCGCAAATTGAGGTACCCCTCCAACTTCTAGTGTTATTGATAACCTATATCTTATCACATGCGATTTGCCCCCTCCCACATCCACATACAATAAAAAAAGGTATAGGCTTAATGTTGTCCGAATTAATTTTTTAGAAATTACTGATGCAAACACGTTGAAAAGCTTCTTCTCCATTTTTATTACAGGTGGCTGCGTTCGGTGGATTCGGTGGCTGCGTTCTGTGTGTGAAAGTGTGTGTACACTTGTGTGTACACAGTGTGTGTCAAAGTGTGTGTACACAGTGTGTGTCTAAAAAATGCTGGGTTGTTTTAACCCAATTTTGGGTCAAATATGGACAAACCCAGCTGTTGGGTTAAATTTATAAATTGCATTTTTTAATCCAACAATTGGGTTTGTCCATATTTGACCCAAAATTGGGTTAAAACAACCCAGCATTTTTTAGAGTGTATGTGAGAGAGAGAGAGAGAGAGAGAGAGAGAGAGAGAGAGAGAGAGAGTGTGTCTGTTCATGTTTGTTTGTGTGTCTGTGCGTGTCACAAATCATAAATAGTTTCTTCAACTTATTAAAATATCTTACTTTACTGCAACTATCTGTTTCTGCTACTTTATTATATTTATAGTGTGTGATTTATAAAATACATTATATCCTTCATCACACATAATGTGTCTGGTCACTTTATTTCTTATATCAGAATATTATATTACTGTTAAGCCTACTATGGATATTAAAATACGCCGAACCATGTGTCCTGTGTCATAGCGACATGAATGACCTTTGCAGCAAAAAAATCAGTTCAGTATTCAGTGAGATATGATTAATTTAATGCGCTGACAGCTCATTTCACCTGCCATTCAGATTACACTGAGCGGAGCGGATGACCGGTTTAAGATGGCGGCTCCAATTCTCGTCCATGCCAATAGGCAGTAGCGGTCATATAGGTCTACCTATATGATGTCTATGGGTGCAGCCTTTGAATTGGGACGTCCTTCGTCGTGCCGCTGTGACGCAATCGGCCTTCAAATACGGCCTTCGGAGGATGCAGCCTTCACATTGGGACACAGCTTACGGGACACAGCTATGATGTCTATGGTCTCAAGTCCGCACAAGTCACCTCTCGATGCATCCTCGGTAAACGGGGCGGATCAAGAAGTTGTGTCTACATAAACTGTTAATACAAGAACTGAACACTAGAGGGAGATAGAGAAGGGCGATTGATCAGTGTAGATACAAGAGAGACTGTGAGATGTACATGTGAGTTCGATCTGGATTAAAAAGAGTGAGCATCTAAGAATTCTTGTGCCATCGCATCATTTATTGTTTTGTAAAATTAAGTAACAATATAACAAATTGGCGACGAGGTGGTCTGCATCTATATTGCGTGACGATGGCTGCACTGAACGCTCCATTTCCAGAGTTATTTCTGCCTTGTCCGGGTGAGCCCAGCATTCCATTCACAACGTGGACCAGGATGTTCCGCAACTATCTTCTCGTCGTGGGAGCTACAGGTGATGCTTGGCCAGAGGCAAGGAAAAGAGCCTTGCTGCTTCATTGCTTAGGAACCGAAGGACAAAGGATTTTTTATACTTTACCAGAGACTGGAGATACATTGGAGTCTGCTATCACTGCGTTGAGTACACATTTCACCCCTGCCATAAATGTTGTGGTAGAACGTCATAATTTCCGGAAACGAGTGCAAGGTGCTCACGAGTCTATAGTGAATTATATTGCTGCACTGAGACAGTTAGCTGCAACTTGTGATTTTCCTAATACAAATGACATGATTCGAGATCAACTCATTGAGCATCTGTCAGATCCTCGAATTCGCGAGAGACTGCTCTTAAGACCTGACCTTACATTGGCAGAAGCTATTACAACTGCGACCCAAGTCGAGTCTGCATCGGAACAAGCAAAGGTCATCGGGGAACGGAGTTTTCCTGTGCAAGCTGTCCAAGTTCAACAAAATGCCGTTCAGCGCAAACAACAAAGAACCACGTTCACCGCTAATACCTTTTCAAAATCTTCTGCACCTGCTCCGCATACACGCGCATGTTTTCGTTGTGGTTCTAGTGGACACTTGGCTAATGCAAGAGAGTGCCCGGCTACAAGAGCAATATGCAAAAACTGTAAAAAAGAGGGACACTTTGCACGCGTGTGTCGTTCGGCTCCTACGCACACAGTTGGAGAAGTTGAGTTACCCGAGTACACGTTACTGTTAATTCAAGGATCCAGCATGCAGAATAAAATCCAGTGTGCTGTTGGCATCCAGACGCCTAAGTCCTTTGCAAACGTGGAACTGATCGTGGATACTGGCGCTTCAGTATCAGTTCTGCCTCGTTCTGTGTATGAAAAAAACTTCAAAGGTACACATTTGCAGCCATCGACAGCGCAACTAGTTACATACTCGCGCTCGCCTATTAATGTGCTCGGCTGTATGCCAGCTACTGTTATTAAAGACAATGTAGAATGCTCTGCTACCTTCTTTATTGTGGAATCAGGAACTGCTCTAATGGGGATGGATTTGATATCTGCTCTACACCTTTGCATAGAAGGGAATACAATCACTTCTGCACGGGCCGCCGACTTACCTGCTTCTCTTCCTCTGACACCGGTGATGCAGCTTTCCTCTTCTGCACCTGCGACAGGTTGTGTGAAAGGGTTCATGCATAAAGTGAAAGTCTTACACTCCGCTGTACCTGTGCGACAAAAACTGCGACGTCTTCCTTTATCAGTACGTGATGCTGTGTCTGATGAACTGAACCGCCTTCTCAGCGCAGGTGTAATAGAGAAAATTGATGCTTCATCGTGGATTTCACCGATTGTTGTAGTACAAAAAAAGACAGGAGGAATTAGAATGTGTGTTGATTTGCGGGAGCCTAATAAGGCTATTATAGTGGATGCTTACCCTCTGCCACACATGGATGAGACCTTAGCTGCCTTGTCAGGTGCAACTGTTTTCTCTACCATTGATCTGGAAAACGCTTACCACCAGGTTCCGCTCCATCCAGATAGCCGTGACCTCACAGCGTTTATAACGCACGACGGGCTGTTTCGTTTTTGCCGTGTTCCGTATGGTCTCGCATCGGCTCCGGCCGCATTCCAGAAAATGATGTCAATAATACTCAAAGATGTTCCCAATGTACAGAATTACTTGGATGACATCATCTGTTTCGGACGTACACAGCAAGACCATGACGTTGCTTTGGATGCTGTCCTCAAACGTCTCAGCGAGGCCGGTCTACGAATGAATGAGAAAAAGTGTAATTTCCGTCAGTCCTGCTTGCGCTTTCTTGGACACATGGTGAATGGAAATGGTATCCAACCTGATGAAGATCATCTGCAAGCAATAATGCAGGCCCCAGCTCCAACTGATGTCACCAGCTTGCGCTCCTTTCTGGGTATGTTGTCCTGGTATAATAAGTTTATACCTAATTATGCCACTCTCGTTGAGCCGTTGCGTGCATGCCTGCGCCAGGATTCTGAATTTGAATGGACTGATGATGCCCAACAGAGCTTTATGGATGTTAAGAAATGCTTAGTGGATAGTCCAGCACTTGCCCTATTTAACCCAGAAATGCCAATCATTGTGTCCACTGATGCATCAGATTATGGTCTGGGAGCGATATTATCGCAGGTGTACCCGGATCACAGTGAACGCACAGTGGCATTTGCGTCACGAACCTTAACCTCAGCCGAACGGCGTTATTCAACTGTGGAGAAAGAGGCTTTAGCGTGTGTTTGGGCCGTCGAGAAGTGGCGCACATACCTCTGGGGCAGACGTTTTACGCTGCGCACTGATCACCAGGCGCTGACAACACTGCTGTCTACGCGGGGAGCTGGACGTGCCGGGATGCGCATTGCTCGGTGGTCAGCTCGCCTTCTGTGTTTCACTTATGACGTTGTGTATCGGGCTGGCTCATCAAATCATGTTGCTGACTGTCTGTCGCGGTTACCTCTTCCTCTCGCTTCTGCTTCTACCTCTGATGATGAGCCAGAGCTGGTCGCTTTACTGTCTACTGCCCTGACTGCGATTTCACCATCCGAGTTCAAAACTGCTGCAGCCTCGTGTCCTGAACTGACCGCTTTATGCACCCAAATCGAAAAAGGATGGCCTGTTTCTGTAAAAGCTGTGCATACCGACCTTCAACCCTACTACAATGTGAGGAATGAACTTAGTGTCAAGGACAATGTGGTGTTCAGGGACACCCGTCTAGTAGTTCCAGTGACATTGAGACATACATTAATAGCTCTCGCGCACGAAAGTCACCAGGGAATCGTGAGGACAAAGCAGCGCTTACGCGAACTATACTGGTTCCCTGGAATGGATCGGATGATCCAGACTCAGGTCTCCTCGTGCGAGTTGTGTCAAAGGCTCGATAAATCTGCTCGCACTGTTACCGCGCCCCTCCAACCGGTACCTTTTCCAGATGCACCATGGAGTAAACTTGGAATGGACATTGTTGGCCCGTTTGACACTGCTGGTTGGGACTGTAAGTACGCTATTACCTTAACTGATTACTATTCCAAATGGCCAGAAGTTGCCTTCACATCGTCTGTGACGACAGGGGTTGTTATTGACTTTCTCAATGGCATTTTCAGTCGCCATGGTTACCCGGTAGAGTTGGTTACGGACAATGGGCCACAATTCACGTCGGATGCGTTCACCACCTTTCTGCGAGAAAGAGGCATTGCGGCAGTTCGCACGGCTGTCTATAATCCAGCTGCGAACGGCGCTATAGAACGTTTTAACAGAGTTCTTAAGGACTGTGTACAGTCGGCTATAGTACAATCTAAGCCATGGAAACGTACTGTTACAGACTTTCTTCAAGTTTATCGCTCTACTCCACATGCCACCACGGGAGTTTCACCCTTCGAATTACTCCATGGGCGGAAGATGAGAACAAAACTGAACGTTGCCCTTCATTCCCCTGCAAGCACTCTCCAGCCAACGGATGTTCGCAAGCGAGTTGTTCTTAAGCAATCTCAAATGAAGCGTTATACTGATGCAAAACGTGGAGCACGACGGCTTATCCTCAAAGAGGGGGACAGGGTGCGAGTGCGCAAGCCCTTTCATGTGCCGAAGGGACACTGCAAATTTTCTGATCCTGTTGAAATTGAGAAACAAGTGGGCCCGAATACCTACTTGCTAGAGGATGGAAGGAAATGGCATTCCTCACGATTGGCACGAGCTGTTCAGATGCCTGATCCTGCAGCTGAGCTTGCGGAGCAAAGTTCTTTCTGTAATGAAGCTGATAACTTTCCGCGGGCTGAGGAACGTCCGTCAAGGATGCGCAAACCTCCCTCATGGCTAAAAGATTTCGAGACGTAAATGTATAGTTATACATTGCATAGCCTATATTTTATACGTTCTGTTCCTGTTATAATTAAGATAAGTTTGTTTTGTGCTCAAGCAATATATTCAAAAAAAAAAAAAATACTGTTCAAACAATTTTACTCCCTTGGGTTATTGCTTAATGTTGGAATGAAACATCTTTTTGTTTTATGGTAATTATTGATAGATTATGTGGGAAGGAAAATATCTTACGTATTGGGGGGATGTTGTGTCTACATAAACTGTTAATACAAGAACTGAACACTAGAGGGAGATAGAGAAGGGCGATTGATCAGTGTAGATACAAGAGAGACTGTGAGATGTACATGTGAGTTCGATCTGGATTAAAAAGAGTGAGCATCTAAGAATTCTTGTGCCATCGCATCATTTATTGTTTTGTAAAATTAAGTAACAATATAACAAAGAACACATCCGGGGATTAGAACTGGACTTGGCTAGATGTGAACTTTGAATTGGAACAGTACTTGGGCAGCGTCTGATGACGTTTCACAAGACCACAAGAACACAAGTACAGACAAGAAGGTTTTCCCAGGCTACGGGAGAACTGAATGTCAATAAAAGAGTGTTCATGCCCAGACATGTAAACAGGCCTATATGTTGCTAAATCCCGCGGCAGTTTTGTAGTGATCTCCGTGCTGATCTGGTCCGATTTCTAGCGGATTTTTGTGTGCGTAAATCTTAAAAGTAAGTAGTTCATGTATATATTAGTAGATTTAGTTGCTGCTACGTAATTTTGCAGTACTAAAAGTGTGTTTATTACTGAGGTAGTCAATGCACACGTAAGCTCAATCGCACATTCATCTCAGCATAAAACACGTTGAATTAGACTTTGAATGTTACTTTTGAATATTATGTGAAAATATTTAATTCTGTTTCATCTGATAGTTCATTTGAAGTGAGTGTGTATAAACCTGAGGAAATTTACAGCTGCTGGACTTGTATAATATATGTCACATGTACATGTGTAATATGTCCTTAGGCTATTGCATTAGTTTTATATTGTTCAGTTATTACTGTTTCTTTTTTATTGTATCTATATTCATTATTGTTAACTTAGAGAACCACACCCGTACTGACACATGAACCAAAGACGACAGTAAAATAACATTGACCAAGTGATTTATTGTTCTGCCTGAAATCTGTAGCGGTTGCGCTCACACTGTTGTTGTTTTGTTCAAAACATTTATGGACCATGGCGGGGACGGGACGTGATCGGCTCGGATTGCATTTTAAATTCTCCATTGAATTTCACTACATTCATTGTGGGACATTAAATGAAAATGCAATCGCAAGTGTCTTAACTGTGAGTGTAAATGCAATTAGGAAAAATAACATTTAAGTGATCATGTTTGCTAAACATATCAAATAATTTCTGCAATACAGTTTAAATTTAAATTTTGCTTATATGTTTAAAGTACTTGTCAAAAGTAGTGTTATAAATAGCAAAAATAAGTGCAGTGTGTGCTGCTGTGACTGTTAATGTTTGCATTGAACATTTCAATGAAAGCTCATTTGTTTGTCTTTTCTACAATGCTTTTATTTTGTATTCGATATTGTACAATATTAGGAATGCAATGACCTCACCAGAAATCCTTTTTCATCTGTACATGAAGTGTGTCTGCCTTCCATACATATTTTTAGCTGTCCTGTCGACTACTTGCTTACAAAGTTACACAACAAATACATCTGTTTAAAAAATATGGTAACAAAATGTCAAATGGCAAAAATTCTTTTTAAATGAAATATATCATGTAAAAATGGTCTATACCCACTAGCACATGAACACAAATACAGATCTTCAAATGAGCTCCTAATGCTCTTTTTATTAGAAACACACTCACCTAGACGTGTGTGTCAGCACTGGATCTGATGAAGAGCTTCAGTCTGAGAGAGAGAGATCACACTCCTGCCTTAAATACAACTCCAGAGAGGAGAAACACACCCAAGCCTCGAGGCAGAACAGTGCTCTACATGTGTAACGGAGTATCCTAACCTAACCCTAACTCTACTCTAACCCTAATGCACTTTATTAATTCTAATTTCCAATTTATGTTTAATTTAATTTTTATTATCATTTAATGATTTGTTGGGTATTTGTGAGTTTTTATCCTATTGAGTTTAATTTATTTATCATATCGCTATTGTTTCCTGCGAAGATGTCGTTGCTGCACTGCGCCTCTATTGTACCTCCTAAGTTTCCGTAGTGTCCGTGTGTCTTGTGTTGCTGAGGTTTGTTGCGTGTAAAATGCTGCTGCGCTATTTTATTGTTTTCTTTGGAAATGGTGTTGTGACCCTTTAATACTTATTGTCTCAAAGTTAATACGATATTAACTAGCTGTTTTGTGCCGTTTATACGGTTAAATAAAAGTTTTAATGATGCTCTTTTTCTTTTCACAGCATTGTCGCGCTGTTTCTGTGCAATGCAAATAATGTGGTCTCTGCAGTCCATGTTGAGTGTGTAAATTCTGTTATTCAATGTTTAGGAGCAGAGGTGCAGATAGAAAGAAACAGTAGACCAGAAGCCAATTAATGTGGTCTTGTCTTCTGCAGGACTATGGGCCGCCGTTTGTAAAGCGGCTCACGCTGAAAATAACAGTTTGTCACATTTAGCTTCAAACAATGTTTAAAAAACTGGTGTGATTTTTTGATGGTCACTTTTTAGCACATTTACAACAATATTTGTCAACTTAGATTTAACTATTTAAAATATCTCTAAGTATTAAATGTTACACCTAAATGTTAAATGTTAAATCTAAATGTGAAATCTAAATCTAAATGTGAAATCTAAATGTGAAATCTAAATGTTAAATCTAAATGTTAAAGCAGCACTAGGAAACTTTTCAATTCAATTCAATTCAAATTTATTTGTATAGCGCTTTTCACAATACATATTGTTTCAAAGCAGCTTTACAGAAAGTGCATTTCAGAAATGTACATAGAAGAATATAGTTAGTTAGTCATCATGTACTAATTTAGGGCATAACATATCGCCGGCGTTGAGTCGTCTCTTCACAGGCGTCGAGTCGTCTCATCGCAGGTGTTGGGGCATCTGAAGTCTCCGTGAGAGGCTGGATACAAACTGGAGCTGACGAACGCTATTTACCTCGGGACTAGCGTCCCGAGATAACAGCAGAAAAGCAGATGGGAAATAATTAGCGTAGCTGCTGTTCATAATATTAATGCATTCGATCTGATTCAACAATAGAAGGTAAGCATTATGTGAATTCTTGGCTAAAGAGATGCGTCTTTAATCTAGTTTTGAACTGGGACAGCGAGTCAGAGCCTCGAACAATATCAGGAAGGCTATTCCAGAGTTTAGGAGCTAAATGTGAGAACGCCCTCCCTCCTTTAGTGGACTTAGATATCCTAGGAATGACCAGAAGCCTCGAATTTAGTGATCTTAACGAACGCGATGGATTGTAGGGCGATAGAAGGTCCATTAAATACACAGGAGCTAAACCATTTAGGGCTTTATAGGTCAGTAGTAGTACTTTGTAATTGATACGGAACTTAATAGGTAACCAGTGCAGAGATGATAGAATCGGTGTTATATGATCATATTTTCTTGACCTAGTAAGAACTCTAGCGGCTGCATTTTGCACTAACTGTAGCTTGTTTATTGAGGATGCAGGACAACCAGCTAATAAAGCATTACAGTAATCTAGTCTCGAGGTCATGAATGCATGAACTAACTTTTCTGCATCGGAAACAGATAGCATGTTACGTAATTTAGCAATGTTTCTAAGGTGGAAAAAGGCAGTTCTTGTAACATATGAAATATGATTTTCGAAAGACAAGTTGCGGTCTAGTTTAACACCCAGGTCTTTTATTGTAGTCGATAAGGTAACAGGACATCCTTCTAAATTAAAGTTGTATTGTAAGAGATTTTGTGGGTAGTTTTTTGGACCAATAAGTAATACCTCCGTTTTATCTGGATTTAATAGCAGGAAATTACACGTCATCCAGCATTTTATATCTTTAAGACATTCTGTCAATTTTGATGAGTTAGTGTTTTCATCTGGTCGTGATGAAATATATAATTGAGTGTCATCAGCATAGCAGTGGAAATTTATTCCATGTTTTCTTATAATATTACCAAGTGGCAGCATATATATTGAGAATAGCAGAGGGCCTAACACCGATCCTTGCGGCACTCCATAGTCTACTGACGTTATTTTTCCCCATTTAAACAAACAAAATGGTAACGGTCCGATAAGTACGATCTGAACCAGCTTAATGCCTGTCCCTGAACACCAGTGTAGTTTTGTAGTCGATCCAAGAGTATTTTGTGATCTATAGTGTCGAACGCAGCGCTAAGATCGAGTAGAACTAGTATTGAGATACAGCCTTGGTCAGAAGCTAAAAGTAAATCATTTGTAATTTTAACTAGCGCAGTTTCTGTGCTATGATGCGGTCTGAATCCTGACTGAAATTTTTCATATATCTCATTTTCTTGCAAGAAAGAGCACAATTGAGCGGACACAATTTTTTCTAGTATTTTAGACATAAATGGAAGATTTGAAATGGGTCTGTAATTTACTAAGTTATTTTGATCTAATTGCGGTTTCTTAATAAGAGGTTTTATAACTGCCAGCTTGAATATTTTTGGAACATGACCTAAAGATAAAGACGAGTTAATAATATTGAGAAGAGGCTCTTCCACTACAGGTAACACTTCTTTCAGTAGTTTAGTGGGTATTGGATCTAATAAACATGTTTTTGGTTTAGATGCAATGATAAGTTTATTTAGCTCTTCAATTTTCAACCTTCATAATATATTTCCAAGTCTCTTGTGATGGTACATCGACTTACAATAGGTTGAATGACACGTCTGCCATAGCCTGACGGGGTCTGTAGCGTTTTTAATCGTACTTTTAAACTTCGGGTTTCGGGTAGTAACCGGAGAACAAAGAGAACTACAAAATTCGACTGCTTTACGGCATATACGTCACTTCCACCACCACCCCCACTTCCTTAAAATCGGACGTGCGAGCCAAATGTTATAGTCATAGCCGAAGCAGCACAGAAAAACAAGAAAGCAAAGGTTTTATCGGAGCAAAGCAAAAAGAGAAAAAGAGAAAGTGATCGCGTTAAAGGCAGAACGAGGATCAACATTGGGCCAGCATTTCCTCGCTGGCGTGAGCTGAAGGAGGAGGAGGGGTGCCCGACCGATGCGGACTTGGCAAAAAAAAAAAAAAAAAATCAAATGAAAGCCTATGTCTAAACGGCGTGTACAAGTTTGGTAGGGGCTACATTCTTGCAAGTAAATATATAAGATGTACAAAATCATATTTTAGGATACCTAACATGTCTGTGATATTTGTTTATTTGTCTTGCCTCAAGCTATAATGCAAATCGATTTGTAAAATTTGCAGATTCATTTATGGTAGCTTGATATTATAATATTGACGATATATGGTTATTATCTACCACTCAAACATTGCATTGAAGTATCATATAGATTCAGTAAAACGGTAACCAATAGACTAGGCTACTATAATGACGCTGGCTTGTAAACGTGATCATCGCGATCATTTGTCGTTAGAAAAAAATAAAACCCATGAAACTATATTCATATGACATGCTGAAATATATGCCACTGTACCTGGGATGAAGACATTAAAGACAAGACGCAAGCAGAACACCTGCATGTGACCTCCTCCTACAGTGTTCAGGGCTATCGTGGTTGTCAACAATCGCACGTGCATGTAGGATGACAGAGTTTACGACAGTAGTAGAGGTCTAGAGGACAATACTGTTTCCCAACTGTAGGGGCACCCCACCCCGAGAGCAAAAGTAACCTGGTGTTACTTTAAATCTAATTCTCACTCTGTGGCGAAAACAAGCTTCCATAGACATGTCTTGCAGACACTGAACAGCAAATTAAGAGGAACCTTATGTAGGATCACTGTGGAAAAATATAGCCATTAAAGAAGGAACTAATACCAGGCAAAATATCAGTAAGCACTTTTTTTGGACATCTGACAAGATTTATTTTCTTGATACTGTTATTATTTTTGCATTTTCCCTTGAATGTTTACTGGTATTTTAAGATGTTTACAGGCCTTATTCTATTGTACCTTTAAAATTACAGAGAATTAGGCTACTTGACTCATTTTTGCTTCCACTCAACAGCAAATATGACCTGAATAAATTAAATGGCTTTATTTTAAAATGTTCTATATACACGCATTAAAAAAAGAAATACTTGCGGTGAGGACATGCTATTAATCTATCAAATTTAGGTTTAAAATCATGTGATTTAAAATGTTGTAAAATTAACTATTTTGCATGTAGCTGTCAGGGAGCGTGTAGTGTCAGTAAGCACACTGACACGAGGAATCACAGGAAACGGGAATTTTAATGTTGCAAACTCAGGAACCACATCACACGTAAATACAACGACGAGAACGGACACTGAATAAGGGAGAACACAGGGTATAAATGCTTGGGATAACAAAGGAACATAATGGGGACACAGGCGAGTGAGAGACATAATGACGATGAGACACAGGTGTTTAAACTGACGGATGACGAGGAGCGGGAAAACTGAGAAACAGGACTAAACCAAAAACACAATGAAGGGGAAACACAGGACTATGACAGTACAAACTATGACAGTAGCATATAGAGTGAAACTCGCATCCCATTTATGTAAATAATTACTTATTCATCAATAATTACGTAACAGTACTATACACTACAGGTTAGAACATCATCTCAGTACAATATTGAGCATACATGTCACTTAAAACCAGCGCATGCGAATTATAACCCAGAGAACGGTACTGCGCATGCGTCTATAACGTCTCCAAAACACACCTCCATCCACTACGTATTGGACCATCCAGCTACGTCATCGTGCTACCGGCTGCAGCGAGGGGTGTCTCGCAATTTGTGCCAGTGTAACAGTGTTG